AGCTGAAGCTCTTTGAGTGGTTCACAAATAACATGTAAGGGCACAATGCCAAGAAAATGACATACATCCAGTTTTCTTTGGATTGTTCTCAATGTCTAAAGTTTAATTCCAATTTGAAGGCAGGGAGATAGGGATGAGGATGAGGATGATACATCATCATCATCATCATCAATCCTAAAACAATGTCAGCCCTGTATAAAGTGATACCACATTTTGCTAAGTATACTAGTTCAAAGATATTATTTGCTTTCTCAAATGTATTGGGCAGATAATGAAACTAGCTATGTTCAAAGTTGCTTGATAGGTTGGTTATTAAATATTATCTAGCCCTTGCCAAAAAGACAGAAAGAAATGGTAGAGAAGCCATTGACAACTTCTTTCTTCTTCTTCACACTTTCTAATTTTTTGCTTGGTTGCTAGCCAGTACAACATAACAATAAGAACTGCAACGGTTGAGATGGTGATACTTGACATTTTGGAGTCACTATATTTTACAGAATGGCTCTTCCAGCCATCTGGGCCCTGCCTCCATGTGCTACCTCTGTGAGAAGCTTGAAGACAATTGAAAGGGGCACTTCTCAATGGAATCTCCCGGCCCACTTATGGAGTGATCTGCCCACTGAGGCCTACCTGGCACCAACTTTGTCATCCTCTTTGTGTAATTACTTCAAGACATTCATGCTTTATTTCATGGCTTGATAATGAGTGCATCCTTGTCAGGTGTTTTCAACAGGTCTACTCAGCCTGTTGCTAAATTGTTCACACATCTTGAATCATTTTCATATTTTGTAGCATAGAAAAATATGTTTTTATTTTATTATGATCAGTTTCCAGGAATTTCTGTAAACCTCCCAGAGATAAAAGGCAAAAATAAACAATTATTGTCAAATACCTCTAATTGTTAATTATCTCTAAATCATTGCTTATATAAATGCAACTTTAATAAGTGGAGGGAATAAATTAAAAAACACATACTCTCAGGCTATGCCAAGAGAACTATGGGTTATACATACTGTTCATATTTCTTTGGAACTTTATACAGGGATATTTGTTGAGATAATGAGCAAGCCACCTGTGCTTCCTTGAAAGACTGATTGCCCTTCAATACTCAGTCTGGAAAGTTTAATTAGATGTGTTTCAGTTGTTACAGCTCAAGGATATTGGCAACATTCTTGGACAGGTTTGTGCAACCACTTTGGTCCTGGATGCTCACCCTTCTTAACTCATAAAGATTAGCAGAGAAGGAACAGCTAGCTGGGTCACGGAGGTGATCGATGCCTTCTTGCAAAAAACAGTCGTCTCATGTCATCTGAAACAGGAGCGATAAGACTACTCTTGAATAAACCCTGTCTGGACTTGGAGGATCTCGACAACTCTAGGCCAGTGGCAAATGTTCCTTTCCTGGACAAGGTCCTTGAACAGATATTGGACAATAGCTCCAGGCTCTTCTGGAGGAGACTGATTGTCTGAATCTATTTCACAGTTGGGGTATAGGCTGGATTTGTGTACTAAGGCGGCTTGGGGTGCCTTGTAGGATGACATAAGTTGGCGAAAGATAGGAGACATGCAACCCTGTGAATAGTCCTGTATTTGTCCATAGCTTTTGATACTATCAGTCATTATAACTTTCAGGGTTGGCTTTCTGAACTGGAAGTGGGAGGCACTGCATTGAGTGGTTCCACTCCTCGGGTGGCCAGTTCCCAAAAGTTGGGAATCTTAGTCTCATGGATTCTCCAGCAGGGAGCTCCCAAGGGATTGGTTTTGTTTCCCATGCAACTGAACATTGACACGACACGCCACTGAGTGCGATCATCTGGAATTCTGGAGTGTGTTGCCATCAGTATACTGATAACATGCAGCTCTATTTCTCCTTTTCATCCCTGACAGGTGAGGCAGTGGATGGCTACAACAATGGACTGGAAGAGAGCTAACAAACTGCAGATAAGACTAAGATGCTGTTAGTGGGTGTTCCTTCTGACTGGATGGAAGGTGTTCAGTATGTTTTGGAAGGGGTTGCACTTCCCTAGACGAAGGTTCAGAATCAGGGTCTTCCTAGAGCTGTCTGTCCCTTGAGGCGTTAGTTGCACCAAATGTTTTTTACTAGCTTTGGCTGGGGACTCATCTATCCCCCTATCTGGACAGGGATAGCCTGATTAGAGTTGTCTGTGCTTTGGTAAACTCTAAATTAAATTACTGCAGTGCCCTCTATATGGGACTGTCTTTGAAGAAGGGCTGCAGTTTGTATAAAAGTCCATTACCAGATTCATAAGCATATTACAATAATTCTGGTCTGTTTGCATTGGCCGCCTTTATGTTCCCAAGTCCAATTCAACCTGTAAACCTTGTATGATTCAAGGCTACAATACTTGTGAGAGTTCCGCTCCTGACCTAAGTGTACCAAGACATTACATTCAACGTGCTGGGGCCTTCCTCTGAGTGCTACCTGAAAGGGAGGATCAGGTAATGGCAAAAAAGAAAAGGAACTCTTCAGTGGCTGTCTGCAATTATGGAATGATCTCTCCAGTAAGACCTGCTTGGTCCCAGCTTGCCAAATCTGCTATCCTTTTGGAGCCGGGTTAAGACTGCTCTCTATGCCAAGGCATTTGATAGCATTCAGTGGCATGGAGCGGGGGTGGGCGGCATTATGTTAGCTGTTCTATTTTATTCTAGCAGGTCTTGAACTTGTTTGAATCTTTCAAATCATTTTAATTCTGATTTAATTTTGTATTGAATTTTATACTGTTTTTATGTTCATTTTGTCAGTTCATTTTCAGTATTGCATAATTTGTGGTTAATTGCCAGAGTACCTTGGCAGTTTGGTTGTATAGAAATGAAAATATGTCTATAAAATAAAAATAATAATTATCAATATATCATCATCATTATATTTACCCCATTGATATCCTATTCAGGTGTTTGCTCCCAGCTTTGAAGAAGGACAAAGTCAGTGGTGGACAGATAAAAAGTTTACTGCTTTTCCAAATTTTCCACCTGAGTCCAGCATGCCTCATGGAAGGAACTTCTCTGGTTTACCAGGTGGAAATGGGTTTCCACTCAAATCATCTTCTAGGCGGTTTGGTCTACAAGTCCTGAGACTTGGGCTGCTGGGCCTTTAAAATCTATTCCTTTAAAAAGGAAATCTATGCTTTAAAAAATGAACGACACTTTCTCCTTCCAAAGGAAGTTCATCATGCCAAAAGCCTCTACTGAAGTAGCGTGGCACTGCTTCTATAGCCTCATTCCACACTGCTCCAGTATAACCTGTAGAAAGAAACCATGTAAATCATGTGAAAGGTTCCTCTTCACCTCTATCTTTCTGTACACATCAACAGAGTGATGCGGAATTTTGCACAGGAGAGCCAATCACATATGTCTCAGTACCAGGCCTAAAGTCATGCACATAGAACCAGGTTACTCACCCAGTAATTAATCCAGTCCTAAACAGAGAGGATCTGGATTTTAGATCTACATAAATAAAAATGACCTCTCTTTTTGTGTGCACAGTGTAATGTTTGCATAAATATTATATGCAGAGCTGTCTGTAAGTAGAAACAGATCTTCATGATAGGGAAGATATTTGCTGCGTTTGTATTTAAGATTACGGCCTCATTCTTTTACATGTTGCAAGCTATCTATTTAGGCTTAAGATTTGCTGTTTCAGGGCCTCTCATCTGCAAAGATTCACAACACTGAACCATACAAGGCTCATCTGTGTAACTTCCAAACTGCCAATAAAAAGTCGTTCTAATCATCAAATAATATACCACCCAGAAACTGGTGGCAACAGCAGGGCCTGATCTACAGTACCATTCCACAGTTGATGGCTCTTTAAGTGTAAGCATAAAAATATGTTAATCAAGCCTGGAAACAAAAACAAAGCACACATTTATTGTTTGACCTTTTAGCGTTAAAGTTGGAGCTGATTTTTAAAAAGAAAAAAATCAGAGTGATTTAGATGGCCATCATTACCATCACAGACTCATCTAGTCCCACGAACCGCAATGAAACAGCTAAATGGATTGTCAGTGCAGTCTTGTCACACAGTATAATACTATATTGATACATAGGTCTGAATGCTGCACAGATTGTACTGGGAAAACAGAATTGTTCACATTAGTGGTTTGTGATTTACCATCACAAGTTAAACCCCAGAGTCTTTTTCTCAGGATATGTTTTTGTTCCTTCTTTTTTTACATTTCTCCCATTTTCTGGGTTCTGTTCAGAAAGAGGAGTGATTTCATGCTATGACAACATCAGCCAGTTTCAATATGAGTTACTTAGAATCATAGAACAGTAGAGTTGGAAGCGGCCATGAAGGCCATCATGTCCAACCCCCTCCTGTTGCAGGACACCAAGTCACAGCATCCCACTCAAATGGCTGTTCAGTTTCTTTCTGAATGGCTCTAGTGTGGGAGAGCCCACCACCTCTCTAGGCATCTGGCTCTACTGTCATATTGCTCTGACAGTGAGGAAGCTTTTCCTAATATCTAGCATGAATCTGGTTGTCGCACCTTGAATTGATTATTCCAAGTCCTACACTCTGGTATCAAATGATTAAATACCACCAATATTTTCATTGCCATGAAAGCACCACCTCCATGGTGAAGCATGGTGATGACATCATCCTGTTGTGTGGGTGCTTTTCCTCAGTAAGGACTGGGAAACTGAACAGGTTTGAGGGCTTGATGGATGGAGACTAATACAGAGCAATTCTAGAGGAAACCTTGCCTCAGTCTGCAAAGGACCTGGGACTGGGGCAGAAGGTCACTTACCCGCAGGACAGTCACCCTAAAGTTACTGCAGTGGTTTCAGAACAAGTACCTGAATGTCTTAGAATGGACCAGGCAAAGGTCAGACCTGAGTCCTATTGAGAATCTGTGGCAAGAATTGAAAGGTGTTGATTAGCAATGGTTTGCATCCAACATGACCAAGCTCGAACAGTTTTGCCAGGAAGACTGGGCAAACACTGCAGGATCCAGATGTGCAAAGCTGATAAAGACTTACCCAAGAAGAATCACAGCTTTGTAATTATTTCCAGAGGTGCTTCTGCCAAGAATTGCCTGGAGAGAGAGGTGTGTGAATGCTTATGCAACCAACAGGTGCCAGTTTGTTGTTCGCTTTACTTAAATTTTGTGCCACAATGCAAGTATTTTGCACTTTCACGGTGCTGAATATCTTGTGCGCATTGAGTGGCAGTAATATCATTAAATCCATCTCAGTTCCAAGGTATAAGACAACAAAATCTAGGAAAGTCAAGCCAGGATGAATACTTTGTAAGGCACAGTACAGAGGGGGGAAAATCATACATACATGAAAATACAGCAAATTCATTTAAGGCTCTGACATCATTGCTACCATTTTGAATCCTGCAAGAACAGTCTGGTGCTAGGACTGCTGATCTGAAATCATCAAATGCAGCATCATTTGCATTTTCAGGCCCATGTGGTTTTTATGTGCATGTAGTTAAGCTGTTCACAAAATGAGATTTGCTGTATTTATAGTATGAAGTCACTAAATCATTGTTGGGATTGATATTCATATGGAATGGATGCACTAATCTTCATCTGTACTCATGGCATCTCTGAAGGAAACCTCATCTGAATTGAAAGACTGCGTTTTGAGTCCAATAAAGTCCAGTAACCTAGGTAGCTTTATTTCACCCGTGCAAAGGGTTTAAGTGGCAATTCTGTCCTGCACAGTGAGCATAAATCGAGTATAAGATAGTTGCAAACAGATTTTTTTTATGCCAGCTGCTATACTAGCAGATTTAAATTTCACATCTCAGATCTCTTCCATGCTTAACCGTTCTATATTTAAGTTCAAAAATGCCACAATTTAAAATGCTATTAAGGAGGAGTGATGCACATGTAAATGGTTGTGTTTCCCTACATTAAACTAGGGAATTGCAGGTGGGAAGAGATCAGCACCCTGCTCCCATGTTTAATGCAGGTGAGCCTGGGAGTGTGCAGGCATGTGAATAACTCATAACCAACAGGGCTGGATGTATATTTTGATTTTGCAATGTACCCTTTTGTACCCATTTAACTAATAAAGTGTAATTCGCTGTCAGTTGAGCTGTGTCATCATGGCTACTGGGATGACAATTAGCTAGTATACTTGCACTGTATTAGGTACAATGCTATTTATACAAATGTCTGATAACTCTGACCCATGCCTCAATTCCTCTATTCAGGCTCAACTCTTAAATCCGAGCCAGTTTTCCCCTTTAGGAGATCATCTCTCAAAGCTATGCAGTTGCACACCGGCGTACCCTTTCACCTTGCAGCCACCACTTTTGCAGTGGAATGGCCCATATCGCAGACCCCTCCTTATGGCCACCGGAATGGGCTGGACATTCTGCCTGCCCAGTGCTGCAGCTTGTTGCATGGCATACCATTGCTCACAAGGGTGCTATGGGAGGAAAGAACTACTACCAGTTAGAAGGGCTTGCTCACCCAATTTGCCCCTACCCGAGAAACTGCTCACCTCATAAAGAAGGCATCAAATGGTAATGAGGGGCACCACTGCACCTAGTTAAGACTTTGGTGTTTGTGCCTGGGAAGTGACATTCTGGGAGCTGAACTATGTAACTATGCATTCTCTCTGTATCTATATATAAATGAGAATACTGGAGAGCTCCTGGCAGACTGGCTTCAGTTTTTTTCTAAAGCTGCAACACTGGCAATAGATTTTGGGGTCATTCATAGACCTTCTTTGGGGCTGAGAGGCCTGGTGAACACAAACAGGAGAATGAGGTGGACAGAAGTACGCTCTATTTGTATTGAACTGTATGACTTCATACTGCAGGTGTAGAATGCCATTTATTTACTTACTTATTTATACATGTATTTGTAGGCCACCTCTAACTGCCAAGGCCTTCCTAGGTGGCTTACAATACATAAAACATATTAACAAAACACATTAAAACCAAGTAAAACATGAATGAAAGCAATATAAAAAGGGCCACAGCATTCAGGCTAAGTGTTAAAAAAAATCCTAAAAAGGTATATCAATGCCTAGTGCCAAAAGAATATATAGAGCGCCAGGCGAATTTCCCTAGGGAGGGAGTTTCAACAATTGGGAGCAGCAGTGGAAAAGGCCCTTCGCCTAGGTGACACCCCCTCATCTCCCTGAGGGGTGGTTCTCGTAGAAGGGCCACCTGAGCTGATCTAAGGTGGCAGGTAGGTATACAGGGGTACAGGTGGTCCTTTAGATGGCTGGGCCCCAAGTGGTTCAGGGCTTTATATGTCAATGTAAACACCTTGAATTGGTCCTGTGCCACAACTGGTAGCCAGTGAAGTTCATTTAAAACCAATAACACACACACACACAATCCCTGTAAATAGAGAACCGGCACAAGCAGAAGAAAGATTCTACCTGAATTCTTTGGGTTTTCCGCCTTATTAAGAAGAACTTTTAAAAGAAAAATGTAAAGGAGCATTCCATGATGTGATCACTCACATCACTGGAATCTTAACTGGGGTAGAGCATGTGGCCAACTCATTGTGGTACGCATATAAGGCCAGGTCTTCCTTCCTCAGCTACAGGAATTTTGTAATTCCCTTTCTCACAAAAATGGAACAGCTGTGCTGGATGAGGCCAGAAGCCTGTTGAGTCCAGCATCTTGATCTTGCAGTAGACAACCTCTGGGAAGCTAATGAACAATGTGTCACTCATGCGGGGGGATGAGCAGATGTCTAGGGTGGGGAGCTCACGCCATTAGCTATTGAAGGGACCCTCAGTGGGGTGAGAGGAGTATTGGGGCAGCCCCTCTCCCATTCTTTCCTAGGCAGAAGAGAAGCCCAATATAAAGAACTCGGAGTATCTGATATTGAGGAGAACTTCAATCGGTTAGAGACAACTTTATTCTGGCGTTTATTTTGTTGCAGGGTGTGTGTATGTGCTAACAACTGTTTTTTTGTACTTAAACATTGAAAACAGCCTTGTGGGGCCTGACAAAAAGGCAGTATAGAAAACAAACCAACACATAGCACCCTCCTATTCCTGTCCCCTAGCAACTGGAATTCAGAGAGGGGTGACTGTGTGCCCTGTTTATTTGAAACCAACTTTATTTGAAGGGCTCTTCCATCCAGGCCAGTTCAAAGATGAAGAACCGTAACAGGGCAAGGCAGGGGTCTTGACAGGGGCCAACAAGTTATTACTTTTAGGAAATCCTATTAAAATGTATATACTACAGCATCTGCTAAAGAGCCATTAAGAAGGTGTGCAGCAATCCAAGCAACACATTTAAACAGTTAAAATATTAAAACAGCACATTCTGAGAGGGTAAATATAAGGATGCATCTTGCATTTTTCAGAAGGCCTGTGACACCTTTTCAGGGAGTATATTCCATTAAGGCATTAGAGGATTACATCTACCCAACAAATCATCCTTTGTAATTGCAACTGTCCCCTCAGAAGGGCTACTCCTGCCAGTCTTAATACCCAGCCCAGTTCATAGGGGGCAGGTGATTCCCTAAGCTATTTGGTGCAATCTTATGCAATTTAGACAGGAAAAAAGTTCCACACTCCCAACATTCTTCACCTGGAATGGTTGGCTGAGGAATGTGGGGAGTTGTAAGATTTCTTCTGTATATGTTAACACCAGTGTGGTGGTTACTGTGCTGGACAGTTAGTCACTCATTTGCAGCCTAACCTACCTCACAGGGTTGTGGTGAAGATAAAATGGGAAGGAAAGGGATTGTGCACATTGCCTTTGGCTTGGAGGAAAAGGGAGGATATAAATGTAGCAAATAAAATAATACAGATAAAGGAGCTTGTCTGGAATCTAAACCTGCCTGAAAGTTGTATTCTCTGATTTGGGATGCCTGCAAAATGTGTTTCGCCATCAGGAAGAGGAAATACACTCTACTCATGTGTTCAGACACTTACCTTTATTATTTTCAAATGTTCCAAAGGTGAACACTAGAACAGAAAGGAAGTTCCTGACTCAATACACTCCAAGAAGACTTTGCTTATATTAAGGCCTGAACTGACCCAGGATAAAATTAGGATGGGACAAATTGATATAAACCAGGAAGAGTTATAAGGGGCTATCCACATGGAAAGCAGAGGGAGCTAATCTTATTCTTGATTGCGAGGTTGCCAGTCCTCTACTATTTGATTTTCCTGTTGCATGCTTTGGTTTCTGCCGTGTTTTTTCTGTAATTATTGGCTCTGAGAAGAAAAAATTAAAATGGTAGTCTTACTGAATTCTTATTACATGAGTATGATTAAAAGACATCAGGAGCTTGGCTTTCTGGGAAGAAATGCAAATCAATTATTGGAACATTTCTGGTAAAATCACAAAACCTTGAAATTATTTATGTAGCAGGCATAACCCAGCCAAAACCAGACACTTTAAAGTTCCATAGATTTCAGCTGGAGAGCATTAAGTGCATGCTTAGGGGATAGTATCCAAAGCACATAATCGAGAGGCAAACTCTATTTAAATCAATCGGATGTATTTTTGAGGGGAAAAAACCAGGATTAGAATTGGACTGCAACACTTTCATTTATTTAAATGGGGTTTTAAAATATTGCATTGTAACCCCTTTCAAACACTCAGTGAACACGTGGGGCAGAGAAAGAGAAGGTTTGCACGTACCTCCATATCTTCTTATGATCTGTTCACTTATTATGTACAGCTGTATGGTGCACAATTGCATATAAGCTGTTGTGTACAGTGCAAGTGCAAAGGGCTCTTTTGGGCACAATGAGGACCCTTTGCCAGTTCAGGTTTCCTAATTTTCTAGAAAAAGAACTCAGTTGTGTATGCAGTTGGACATGTACGTAGACCTTCAGGGGAATATCTGTCGGAACTCACCACTGCATTCCTGTGTCACTGTCCCCACACCACATGTTTGTTGCATGTAGACATTTTAATTTTCTGAGAAAAAGAGATAAAAAGAACAGAATCTTCTTGCAGCTTGAAGTCTAGCAAATATATCATGGTGGAAGTGGAGCAGAGTACCCTTCATCTCACAAGTCACTTTTAGTTAAACAGTTGTGAAGAGATACAATGAAACCTCCCCCCCCCCCCGCATCTTTGGAAATAGTGGGCATGATCCAAGGTTAGTAACATTTAGGCCACCAATTTCAGTGAATCTTACAGTTCACTGCTATCCACAAATTATTTTGTCTAGATTAAGACAATGTAGCGACTAGATCCCTGCAGCTCTGAATCCTGCCCAATCAGGGGGATCTTCATCAGGAGGATCTTCCTTGAGTTCCACAACCCCACCCCCCATGAAGTTGCGGGGAAATGGACGGGAGAAGAGCCTTCTCTGTAGTAGCACCCCACCTTGGAACTCATTTCCCAAGGAGATTCACCAGGTGCCGTCGCTTCTTCCAGCGCCAGGTGAAATCTTTTTATTTCATAGATGTTTTGGGTGACTAATTGGTTTTGATGTCTCTTGTTGATCTTGCTGCTGTCTTTCTGTGATCTTTTAACTGCCAGATTTTATTTAATTTTTTAAATTGTCCTTATTTATTCTAAATTTTGATTTGTTTGTTTGAAACTTTGAATTTTACCTTTAATTATGGTTTTACTGTTGTCATTACTTCTTGTAAGCCACCCAGAGGGCCTGCTGGCTATGGGTGCAGCATATAAATATAATGAGTGAATGAATGAATGAAACTGGCATGTTGATATAGTCACTCCATAACTTCAATCCAGCATTAAATCTGGGTTTTAGTCTCCATTCAGCAATGAAGCTCACACGGTAACTTTAAGCCAGACACAGACATGCAGCCCAACCTACCTCACAGGGTTGTTGTTATGAAGATAAAATGGAACTCCTTGCAAGAGGCAAAATGGCGGGATAGGAATGCAATGCAGTGTAACAACAACAACAAATATTATGCCATGCTGGATATTACAATGTCATCTTGGTATACCTGTTGGTGTGTGCGTGGACTGATGTTTCTACCTATGAGCTGTTAACCACGTTTCAATTGGTGCCTCTGTGCATGTGCATGGAGGAGGGGGGCATTGCAAGGGAACACCCTAGCGATTGTTGCCTGATGGGAATGACTGTTGTTTACTTAGTCGTCTCCTTCAGCCTGCTGCTTAATATGCTCCCAGTGCTGCTTGGGGAAGCTCAGTATAAGCAGCCATGTTAACTGGACCATAGGAATGCCTTACATAGTATGAATTTTGGCTTGCATTTATTTGTCATGTACCTCAATCCTATGCATGCTTAGTAAAAAAGGAAGGAAGGAAGGAATTAAAGAAAGATTCCCACTAATTGCGCTGGAGCGTACTTCCAAATAGTTATTTTACATGTGGATTTCTTTCAATGGCTCTTCCCAAAATAAACAAACCTAAGACTTTGCAGAATGCTTTACTGACTGCTATATCAAATGGTCGCATACTGAAAGTTTCATATTTTCTTCCATGCTGTGTCAAACGAGTGAAAAAGTCAAGTTTTATTACAATTAAGTGGATTTTTTTTAAATCATGCAAAAACAGGATTTTGCGGCTGATGACCTCTCCTGCTCCCAACTCTCGCGGGGATGAAGGGGAGCCCTCGCTCCGCAAAGAAATAAACTGCTTTCACATACGATAATGTATGAATAAAGTGTCTGATCGTTCCAGATTGACTCTTAAACGAGGGACCGATGAATAGGCGCAAACTTTGCTGCCTGTTGCCTATAATTTCAAAGGCTCAAGGTTAGTTCCCCTCCATAGGAAGAGGAAATTACAATGAAAAGTCAAGATCCAAGCGGGCAGTTTTAGCTTTCGGAATGTGGAGGAGGCGAGGACGGCGAGCACAGTAAGACTCCAGCGGGGCAGCCGGTGCTGCTTTGGTGGAAATGATGTTCTTCCGTGCCATTTTACTGGCACATTCAGCCTGCTAAATTCTCTCCCTGTGCGTGAGTGATCGCCCCTCAAGGGAGCAAGCGCGAGAAGGAGTCTCCGGTCTCCAAAGCCAAGTGAGAGGCTTCCTCGTCTTGGCTTCGGTACCGACTTGAGACAAGGCCTTTGATTGCATTTGGCCCTACCCAGGAGAGGAACACGGGGAGGTATTTGCGACATCACATTTAAAAAGGCCCCACGAAAAAGTGATACTGGGCGAAGTGAGGAAAGGAGCAAGAACACGCACACAGAGAGCGCCTTCCCCCTCCTTCCAGGGAGGCGGATCTCCGGGTATTTGATCTCTGCGATCTCGCCCCTCCTCCGCATCCTAAACCGATTCCGAGGCGCTCTCTCTCGCCTGGCAGCACCGAGCACGGGGAAGTGTGTGTGTGTGAAAGAGGGAGAGGGAGAGAGAGAGAGAGAGAGGAGGAAAGGAAAAGGAAGCCCAGAAAGTGAACCAGCGTCTTTTCCTCGTCCTCGCCAGCCCCGTCTCCTTCCTTACATTATGCTCGTGATTTCGACTCTCCGCGCTCGAGTGTTTCTGCTCCTCCCGATCAACTCTCGAGAGCGGATAGTTGCGGAACCCCGGGGAAATAAATTGCATGAGAGTGATCCTCACGTTTAATAAAAGTGAAGTTGTGGGAGGAGAGGAGGAGGAGGAGAAGGTGTGGGAGCAGGAGGAGGGGGAGGGGGGCAGCCGCAGAGGAAAAGCTCTCTGAAGTTTGGCTCCAATTCACCTCCCCTCCCCTCCCCACCTCCCCCAGCAGCAAGAAGGCGAACGAAGGACTCACTTTAAAAAAAAAAAAAAAAGGTGGGGGGTGGAAAGGCTGATCGCTGCAACGAAGCGGCACAAACCACCATGCAGCTTGTGTTATGGGCTGTGGGATTAAGCACGCTATTCTTGCAAGACTTCTTGAACGTAGCCGGTGCAACCGCAGCAGCAGCAACAGCAGCAAGGAAGCAGGGTTTGCATCTGAGACAAGGTAAGATGCTGGCGGCGGCGGCGGCAGATGCGGCAACAAGCGCCCAGGATTTTTTAAAAATTACTGTTTCTGAATTGAAAAAACCGTTTGGAATCGCTTTGCTTGAGGCCACTTTTTGTTTTATTTTTAACACGGTGCCTGAGGGGAGAAAATCGCAAAGTTCAGAGCGAGCTATTAGGCAACTTTCGTTCCAGACGTATCCACTCTACCAGCAACTCCGCCTACAGATGTACACTTGTAGCCCCGCTATATCGCTCAAGGTGGCTCTTTCCTGCGTGTGGCTGGACAGCCGCGATTAGCTCCCCAAACTTAAGAGGAAGAACAAGCCCCTGCAAAACATGTGCCGTGCATAGCCCTATAGGAAAAACAGCTGTCCTTTCTTGAACCTGTGGCCTTTTCCATCGCAACTAGCAAGTTACATGGAGGGGGAATCTTGGGCAGTGAGCACAGTTTAAAACTGTTAGTAATATGTTTCTGCACTTTCCTCCAAACCTTTGCTTGACATATTGGTGGGTTGAGATGTTTATAGCCATAGTTCTTGGCATTTTTTAAAAAAGTGCTCATTACTATTGCCTGATGAATGCATATCATACTAGCATTACAAATTCGAATGTGCTTACACCTATGTAAGTTGCAGTAAGTGGGTTTCGAAACTTATTTGAGGTCGTTCTTTGGAGTTTATGTTCTGGAATTGCTGCTGAGTGCATATGCTTGTTTGCAGTGCTTAGCTTGGTTACATAAGAGCTAAAAGTTACTCTGCATCCTTTACAGGCAGTTTCTGCACTACTGCTCTAATTGTCAGCAGAACTCTCTGGGGGTAGATCTCTTAGAGGTCTAGTTTGAGAGAAAATGTAAGGAAGACCTTAAATTCTGAGACAGATGAGCAGAGGATTGGGAAAGGATCCTTTCCAAACTATTGGCTAAGGAAGTTGACTGAGTGCTTCTAGCATTGTTGACTCCCTTCATGGCTCTTGTCCCACTTAGGAAGAAGTAACATTCAATAGTCCAGGCACATGTGTATCTATTCACAGGGATGTGTGTTAACTCTTGACAGCTCATCTGCTGGAGACACTGAGTGAGTACGAGGTCGTGACTCCAACCCGGGTGAATGAGTTTGGAGAGCCCTTTCCTGCCAAGGTGCACTTTCAAAGGAAGAAACGAAGCCTTCATCTGGACATTGAGCCCTGGGGCCCGGACGCTACCTCCTCCTCTATCAACAGTACCACCCAAGCACACTACAAGCTCACAGCCTTTGGGCAACACTTTGTTTTCAATCTTACAGCCCATTCGGGATTTATTGCCCCTCTTTTCACTGTCAGCTTCCTTGGAGAACCTAAGATTAACCAAACAAACTTTTACACTGAGGAGGAAAGTGATATTAAGCACTGTTTTTATAAAGGACATGTCAATACGGAGCCACAACACACTGCAGTCATCAGCCTCTGTTCTGGGATGGTAAGTGTTTGGCTTACTCTTGGCTGGGTTCAACCTTTTGCTTATAGGATGGCTCTTAATACCCCTATTTTAAAAAGGAATACATAAAAATAATTATCAGCCTGATACTGCAATTCCAACTATCCCAAAGGGATATATTACACTTTCTTAAATGTAATTGTCACAGTCCTCTGCAGCTTTCTGGGAATTTGGGGGAGGAGGTGGTTGAACTAAGCATGAGGCTCTGAAACAGCTTTCTCCAGCTCATCTCCCTTCAGATGTATGTTTCTGCAACCCCCATCATCCCCATCCAGCATTGGCAGCAGTGCTGGTTGGACATAAAAGGGTTAGGTTGTAATGCTGGGCTGCTTTAAAATAAAGCAATCTTGAAGCAGATGATTTGGTCTGATGGTTATCAGATCTTGCCTGCTTTCCTTTCTTCAATATCACCCTGTTGTTGTTGCTGTTTCCTAAACACCTGATTGTCTTTAGAAAAGCTGGTTAGCAAAATAGGAACAACTTCCATCTCCTTTGCAACCAGAATTGAGAAATCATCACTGAAGTCCATGGCATAAGTAATAGATCAAGAATCAAAGGCTTTGCTTTTGAGGAGTGCTCACTTTGATTGATGGGAAAGAGGAGCAGAAAGGGAGGGTGGGGAAAGACCAGGGAGCTGCCAGAAACAAGCAGTGGTAATTAGCAAATCCTATATTTTCTGCCAAAGGTCATTAGAGCCAGGTACTCATTTTTCACATAACAACTGTGTCCAAGGAGATTTTTTAATAGGGGAACTCTGTCGTGAAGCTGGATTTGCAGTGGGAGCGGAAGCAAGGGGGTGGGGTTACCCCAGGCGGCTTTTCAGCTTTTCGGAGGAGGGGGTAGATGGGTGGATTGGGGAGGAGGGTTTTCAGTCAGAACCCCAAACAAGGGTGGTGCTTGGAGGGCTGAAAACCATTTAAGGTGGAAGAACACATATAAAAAAACTGCATTTCCCTTTCTTCCCCCCTCACTCCCTCCAGGGACAAAAGTTTACTTTGAAGAGGAGATTCTGCTGCCCCTGCTAATACTAGCAGTAGTTCTGCTGTCCTAACTGAACTTTAAAACAAAGGGGTACAGGAATGGGGACTCATCTCTAGTTTAATGGATTACACTTAAGAAAGTACAGAACTGTCAGGCTACATATTGTTCTTGCTGATGTCCCTAACCCTGCCCCCCCCACCACATGCACCCTGAGGGAATGTATGTGAATGGTCCCTTGGTTTGGGACATGTTTAGGAGCACAGAAGTGGTAATTTCATGTGGTTGTCACTTCCCAGCCTGGGGATTCCTGCTCTTGGGAGCTTTAACAAAAGCCTTAGTTCTGCTGACAGAATTGACACTTGGTCTCTTTCTGTTCTATCCAGAGGAGACCAAAATGTGGGATTTTTGCTTTCTCTAGTGAAGATGCAAGAACTGCTCTGCCTTTTCCCCACCCCATGATTTCCCCCTCTGTTACAGAGGGAAAGTTGCAAGCAGCTGAGTTTAGCCATACTTACCAGCCTGGCTGCGCTGTCGTGTTCTTGGCATTCCCAGCGGCAGTGCCCTACAGGTAGTGCGGCAACAGGGAAAGGGGTGCAGTGACAGGAAGTCAGCTTTCCCCACCCCACAGACTAGCTTGGTTTCCTCCAAGACTGCTGCTTGCGCAGTAATAGTAACTCTCGTGCTTGTTGTTGTTGTGATGATCTGGTGTTTGGTGGGCGGAGGCAGTGGAAGGGGAGGAGGTTCTGTGTAGAGAACCAGCAGGGGGTGGGAACATGTGAATTCCAGCCTTCCGGGCAAGCTTCGCAGGCATGGCTTATCAAAGGAGGAGAATTCACACCTAAGTCTTCGTGGAGGAGAGGCATTGTTCCAAGTCAGACAGTGTGCCTTCTCTGTGAGATCAACCTTAAGAGAGTCCAGGAACTTCCCCATCCTTTGGTTGCTGGAAACTTAAAGTGGAAAGGAGAGGAAAAGGTCAAAGGAGATTTTTCTTCCACATTTCCCAGAGGAAATGGTGGGGACAGGGAGGGCAGGGAAGAATGAGCATTTTTGTAACTTGAAAGTATCCACAAAGGGGCTCTCTGCAAAGGGAGTATTTGGAGCTCTCCTTCTATGTAATCTCTTGTGTTATTTCCAATCATGATCTTTCCTGAACTTTTACTTGTGAGATCAACTTATTTTCTGAAGATATTCAGCTGGAGAAAAAAGAAATTTCTCTCTAAGCTTGACTGTTTCAGCTAACTGATTCCTGTCTTAATCTGGAGCTTAATTCCCACTGTGGTAACTAATGCCCCCTCGCTCTGGTTAGAGAGAGGCTAAATCTCAGTAGTAGAGCACTTGCTTTGCATGCCAAAGGTCCCAAGTTCAGTCTCTGCCTTCTACAGGGAGAGGTTGAAAATCTCCTACCTGAAATCCTGGAGAGCTGCAGTCAGTCTCCTGTTAGGTATAGGGCAGCTTTCTGTTTCCAGGGGCTGCTTCCCACCTTGAGACAATGAACCACTAAAGCACTCTAGGGGCAGCTCTTTGAGGAGGCTGGACATGTTCACTGGTGTTTGCTTGCTGGACAGTAAGTGGGGAGTTTGCATAACTCTTCAAGAGATACCTTGGGTTATTCTCTATAAAAATCTATCAAAGGTTCAAAGAGTGCGACAGGCAAATATCCATATGATCTGTTTATTTCCTCATGCTGCCTAAAATGTTGGTGGGTCATTTCACAACTGGATGGAGAGGTGGACTCAGGTTTGCCACTGAGCAGGGTATTAAAACCTGTCATGGTCCCTGTATGCCTATACAGGTTTTCAGTAATGCAGGAATCATTTTCTACATTTTTAACTATATATTGAAAAAATACTTAGAATGAAGTGTCCTTAGACAAGAGAGCATGGGAGAAAAAGAAAGATACAGCATCATTGTACTGTATGCCCAAACTGCACAAATAGGCAGTCTTACAGTTCAGATACAGCCTTTTATACAGATTACTGTCCTTGGCAGAAGATTTAGAGTATACTTCTGTGCATGTTTAGGCAAAAAGAGTCTCCTGGCCAGAGTCCTGGGAGTTGTAGGATTTTTTCTGATCGAACATACACAACATTGTGCTCTTAGAAGCGTATAAATGGTTGCTTTGAAGCTTATCTCTTCTGTCTTTTACAGTTATTTTGAAAGTTTTATGATATATCTGTCATTCCTTTTTAGCTAGGTACATTCAGGTCTCATGATGGCGAGTATTTTGTAGAGCCACTGTTTCCACCTGACCAGCAAGAGTATGAAGAGGAGCATAAAAAGCCACATGTGGTCTACAGACATACTATGCCTCCAGCATTCCTGCCAAGGGACAAGCAGACATGTGACACTTCAGGTACTTCATATTTATATTTTCATGGGCTTTTGGCCTGAGTTTGTGGGTTGAAAAATAATCTTGCCATAACATGAATGGCCATTAGGATGTGAACCCTATACTTGAGATCAAGATCTGATTATGTGGAATGGCTCTTCTTATCTGGGAGGACATTTCTGGAATTAACAACCTGGTACCATCGCTCAACTGAGATGGCTTTTGAGTCTAATATTATTGATTACATTATTGATTCAGTAGACATTATTGATTATTGAATGTGGTTGAGGGAAAGGTCAACCGCATTCTGCTATGCCTTTCATTGCATGTATTTGAATTTTTCTTTTATATTGTTTGTATTTGGAAGTTTTCCTTCTTTCTCCTTCACACTACATGGGCACAATATTATGCAAGTCCTACATGAAACTTAGTCCATAGTACCTTGAGAAAAAAAAGTTTTTCTGGCCTCTCATTGTGTTTGTCCACAAATACATCTATTATTATAACTGAAGATGTAATATGTTGGTATTTTGTTTAAACTAAAGATCAACAATATAAATCATAGCACAGCAGTGCTGAGCTTGTTCATTTGGATGAGTAGAAGCATGTGCATGGTTATCACTTAATTACACAGATCTAAACATGTTACAAAACTTGGCAGAAAGAATTAGTAGCAATATAGTGGGGGAAATGAATACATGCAAGGATTTGTCTTGTCTGGTGGCAGTATGAGAGGGGCAGTGAAATCAAAGATGAGTAGCCTATTATTGTTCTGACCTGTTTTTCTTTTTACAACTATTTGCAGCTACTGTGTTCTCCCCTCTCCTTCTCCAGGTTTCCTTTATCTTTATTATTCACAACATGATCTCAAACACCTCCATGCATTTAAATGCCGCAAGAGGCAATGTGACCTTGTTCTGCCACCAAAACACTTGCTGGCTACAACTTCTCTTGGGCACAGTTTGGGTGAGCATGTGAAGTGGTGCTACATGCATAGCCACATACACACGTTTAGAGCTTCTCCGTAGGAGAAATCCTGTGCCAAACAGGATTCCCCCTCATGTAGAGGAACTCTATGTGCCTATGTTGGTATGAGTGTAGGGTCTGTCCTCACGTTCACTGAACGTGGGGCTTGTGGGGGCCATAGCCAGCATAGGTGTTTTCAATGTGTAGACCAGCCTAGCCCAAATAACCCAAAATCCATCACACATACTTTAAATCCTTTAATGTGATAATGGTGACAGTATTTGGCAGGAACATAGACAGGCTATGTGAAGATAGAATTGAGGGTGAATAAATCAACCATTTGCACACACTGAATTTATACGTGTGTGTGGAGGAAGGGGATGCATCAGCCTATTTTAGAAGACAGAGAAAGAGGTTTCAGTGCAACAATCAACACTAACACCAAGTTTAACAAGGGCAGCATTTTCATTTTGCTTGGTGATGTAGGGAAACAGAATGCAGGAGAGAATGGTACCTCTCACAAGGCTTTTATTGTTTGTTCTTCCAAGGGTTGCTGCTGGACTATGCCACTCTGGTTTCTCTCTTCCAGCTGTCTCTGCTCCCTTCTTTGAGATCAGATGCAGGAGACTCAGAACAGTTGGAAGGAAACATGGGATCTGGCACAATTCATCAGCAATCCTTAGAAGAATGGATCAGCAGATCATGGAGCTCACTGAACCAAAGGTAGTTGAAGGGTCTCTGAAACATCATTTGGGATCTTTCCGCTTGTCTGTCCCTTTTCACTTGTGCTGTGTTCTGAACCACTGGTGATTGCTTGGTCTTTATTACCTTGCAGGAAGCTTCAACTATCTTCTTCTTACTTGGTTTAAAATTCACTAGGGCAAAGTTAAGATTTTCTCCAGAAAAAATGCATTGGCATTTTACTTCCATAGAATTGTCTACGTTTATATTGTATTGGTGACAACTGCCTTGAAGATGTATGGGAGACACACCATAGGCAGTATGCTTCTCTGCTCATATTCTTCTGCTCTGACCTTTCTATTTGAGTGAGCGGCGTGCTCCAGCAGCACGGGGTAGGGGGGAGGACCATGGCTATTGTCCGCTTCATCAGTGGAACTTGGCTTGCTGCAGTCCTTTTGTGCAAGCCGACTTCATCAGTCACAGCCGCCAGCCAACCAGAGAAAAAGGAATAATCTCATTGGCACTTTGAAGTTCAGCTGAATTCCAGTGAGATGCTTTACAGCATTACTGGAACAAACAATTATTTACACAGCACAACTTAGTAGCAAGGGTTGAGCAGCTAAAGGACAAGAATGCAAAGGCAAAAATACCTTAACATTTTGTTTGTAATAGTTAAGCTCTGTGTGCCAGAAAAGAGCTTAGTGTAGCTTAACTAGAAATGTGGATTTCCAAGATACAAGCATCCAGAAAATAGTGCTTAAATGTAATGATTATTTAACCAATGATAAGGAAAGTTAGTTTCCCATTGTTTTATATAGAGGACCGAACAAGAGTGATTTGTCTTGGTTTTGAACAAGCCAACACCACTGAAATTACTTCTTTGGACCTCTTATTCCTAGGGAAAGATGAACAGACTGACATAATCCAATTCCATAATCCAATTCCATTTCTGTGTAAATTTCAAGGGGAAATCCTAAAATCCATAGAAAAACTATTTTTTTCCAAAAAATGAAATTATTTCTATTATTTCTATTATTTAAAAAGTACATACTTAGCAGGGTTGTCTGATGGATGTCATTATGTTATGAGATAGGTAGATGGGGGCAGCCATCATTATTTTTCATAACACTCAAGAAGTGACGGTTTGCCATACCATATTGTCACTTCCTGGACTTTTTTGAAGAATTCCTATTGAATGTGGCACATGATATGCTTTGTAGCTGCTACAAGCAGCTTTAAACTAGAAAGAAATAAAGAGAGGATCATCTTCGAAATTGTAAGGGGTGTGAAAGAGATGCAGTATTATTTGTAGAAATGCATAAGTAAATAGAGAGATTGACAAGTGAAATTTTAAAGATGTTTGCCTTAAAAAGCTCCATTTCTATTTTGTACCCATCCCTATTTCTTACAAGCTGTTTCTAGAAAAATAAAATCCTGTTCCAGTAAATTTCCCCTAATATGGTTGATGCATTCAATAGTCATATTACAATCCTTCAAACCATGAGCTGGAACACTTCTTTCTTCCTCATCCCCTTCCTCCTGTCTGGTCTTTTATGGCTTCCTCATTTTCAGTCATCCTTCCATCCTGCTCAACATGCAATAGGTGATTAAGCACTTGGAAATATCATGCAGCTTAGGATGGGTAGAACTATAGAGAAGGCACATGCAGGATCCTTTGTCTCCTGTGACTTCAGGGTATCTAAAGGAATATTACATTACATTTATCTATTGCAGCTTTTTTCCCTTTTATAAGCAACCCAAGGCAGCTTAAAAGTGTCTTTTCCTCTCCATTTTATTCAATCTGAACATTCTCTTGCTTTTCAGCCTGACAACTCCAATGTTGGAGAAAGGTGTGTGGACATCTACATTGTACACAAGAGAGATGGCCCAGCATCGAAATGGATGGGCAAAATTACATGTTTTGCATCCATTTATGCATCAAAGTAGCTGTGGAGCTTGGGACTGAGTTCAGTGTCTGCACTAGAGAGGAGTAAATAAATACTATATATTTGAGAAATGGAAAGTTGCCATAAACAGGCAGTGAGACTGTATACAAGTTTACTTAGAAGCAGGTCCAGCTAAATTCAGTGGGGCTCCAGCTGTGTGGCTGCAGTAATGCAGCCCATGTTAGACCAGTGACCATCTACCCAGCTGTGGCTACCTAAACTTCCACTCTGGTCTTTCCCAGACCAGAAGATGTTGTGGATTGAACTGGGGGGTCTTCTGCATGTAAAGCCTCTGCCACATAACAGAGTGGCCCCCAGCATACACGTAGCAAATCTTTGCATTAATCTTTCTGAGTTAAGGGCTTCAGCAGATCTTACTGAGTTCCAAGCCGTTGTTTTGTTCAATTTCTCATGCCTCACCTTGAAGCTCGATGAAAACAGCTATGCCAGGGTAGAGGACTGCATGTAGCTACCGCCTGGGTCTTCTAATCACAAGCAGAAGTTGCGCCACTGTTGCACTTTTGTGCTGTTGTGTGCCAGCATCCCTGTTGAGTGGTCTTTCAAAACTGAGCTTCAAATAACATTTGATCTAAACATTTCCAGTGGGAATGGGATGTAAGCTGGGAACGGAACAGAACGGGAGGAAGAAGGAGGGGGAACTGGGAACTTAAAATAATCTTTAATAAAGAAAGGAAATTGCTCACTACAGAGTTTGGGGGCTGTGTCTTTCCTGAGCTGCAGAGGAGGGAGGAGAAAGAGGTTTGGCTTAACAGTTAGGAAGCTACCTCAAGACCGACAAGAGATTAACCAAAATTAAATTAAATAATCCATAACAAGATATAAAAGTATTAAATCAAATCAAATCAACCACAAACTTGTTTAAATAAAAAGTTTTCACCTGGCACCAAAAAGAAGAGTTGGTGCCAGCTGTGTATATATGGTTGTCTGAGGTGGGCTCGAAATGACCATTCAGTTCTACCGAAGACCAGGGGGAGGTGAAACAGCTAGAAGTGGTCTGCTGAGACAGAAGGCCGATGCCTGAACGTTTGGTCCCATCTTGAGGACGGAGCTATGGGCACGGTCAGGATCCATGCCAGCGCTTCCGAAGTGACCACTACCACTGCAGGCCAAAGGCATGTGTTTTTCAAGGTGAAGGGCAAGACGCTTGTCTCCATTTCAGTTCACGTCTGACTGGATGGACAGATGAGTCACTGAGGTGCTGAGGTACCGTCACTGGTGGGGCAAGAACCACACCTGACCGGGTTTTTTGTTGCGTGGCATGCAAAGCTGTGTCCTCCAAGTCAAGGCACTGGCTGGAGGTTGCCACCCACCAGCACCTGCTGCCTGAAGACACTGGCCTCCCTCTGCCCAATGGCAGGGCCTGCCCTGTCTTGCTCTCTGCAGAGAACAACACTCTGCCCCAAACTCCGT